TCGTATCAAGCTGCGCCCAGCGAAGCATTTTATTTTAATTGGACTACATTAAGGTCCAAAGGGTCCAAAATTAAACTTAGTTTGATTTTAACAAAAATTGAATTCTTGGGGTACTTTGATATGCTGAATCTAAACATGTGTTTAGATTTTTGATTATGGGACCAGTTTTCAAGTTTGTCCAAGTTGGGGTCCAAAATTAAACTTTGTTTGATTTCAACAAAAATTGAATATATGGGGTTCTTTGATATACTGAATCTAACCATGTATTTTGATTTTGGACATTGGACCATAATAGGTAAATTAAAAAAATTGAAGTTCTTAGACCACATTCTTTCTGTGTCAGAAACCTATGCTGTGTCAAATATTTAATCACAATCCAAATTCAGAGCTGTATCAAGCTTGAATGTTGTGTCCATACTTGCCCCAACTGTTCAGGGTTCGACCTCTGCGGTCGTATCAAGCTGCGCCCAGCGAAGCATTTTATTGTATTTCCTATCTGTATTTGTATTAAATAATTTAGGTTGGCACCAAGATTTGTATGTTTACTAGCGTTAAATGTGCAGTATACTATCCATTTCGGTATATATATATATATACTGTATAGAATTGTTTGATGTACGGACCTGGATAGTATACTGGACATTGCTTGTAAACATACAAAAGTTGGTACCAATATTTTAAAATGAATTTGATTTAAGAAATAAGTTACATATGCCACTGAATAGCCAAATTAATAACAGCCCTTATGTTGGGGATGTGTCTGGATGGAAGTACACAAATCCTAACAATTACACAATGTAAATGTGTATATATATACAATGTACACAGTACAGCATGACAGGTAAAATCATATTTCTATGAATGTTAAGCTGCAAGATGTCAGACTTGTCCGCCAGTTGACAAAGTTTAATTAACACCTGCTCTGATATAACCTGTGTAATTCCTGCTGCAGTGTTCCAGCTAGGTCTTTTTCACAGGGCGGTCTGCCCGCCCTTTCCCGAGTGCCGCCCTGTGCCCTTTTTACAGTTTGCAGGGCGCCCTGCCTATTTTGAAGATCGATTGGTATATTATTTTGTTCGTATTGATATGATCAGCCAATTACGAAAATTTACCTGGCGACAAGTATATGACTTTGTTTACGACCCCAAGCTAATCAACGGTTACAACAGGTGTCATAATCTGTTGTTATAGGTAATCCGTTTATCGGATGGGTCATTTAATGATCATCAACATTAATTCATTCAAATAGAATCGGTCAGTTGGCATTTGTCTTTGAACTTGAAGAAATGTTGCTTGACAAGTTTTCAGCCTAAAAATTAGAAAGATTGTTTTTCTCTGGGCTTATGATGTTGTTCTTGTATATATAAAACCAGTGATTCAATGAATAAAAAATGTTTGATTATAATCTTTATTAAAACATGCCCTTTTCATATTATCATATCACGCGTTAAATGCCCTTTTTATACGACCGCAAAAATTAAAAATTTTTTGGTCGTATATTGGTATGACGTAGTCGTCGTCGTCCGGCGTCGTCCGAAGACACATTGGTTTTCGCACTCTAACTTTAGTTTAAGTGAATGGATCTCCATGAAATTTTACCATAAGGTTCAATACCACGAAAGGAAGGTTGGGATTGATTTTGGGGGTTATGGTACCAACAGTTAAGGAATTAGGGGCCAAAAAGGGGCCAAAAATAAGCATTTTTGTAGCTTTCAGACAATAACTTGTGTGTAAGTGTATGGATCTCTCTGACATTGTACCACAAGGTTCCATATCACAAAGGGAAGGCTGTAATTGATTTTGGGGGTAATTGCCTCAAAATTTTAGGAATTAGGGGCCAAAAAAGGGGCAAAAAACAAGCATTTTTCTAGTTTCATGACAATAACTTGTGTGTAAGTGTTTGGATATTTCTGAAATTGTACTACAAGGTTTTATATCACAAAGGGAAAGCTGATATTGAGTTCGGGGGTAATTGCCTGAAACGTTTAGGAATTGGGGGCCAAAAAGGGGCCAAAAATAAGCATTTTTCTAGTTTCAAGACAATAACTTGTGTTCAAGTGTATGGATCTCTCTGAAATTGTACTGCAAGGTACCATACCACAAAGGGAAGGCTGGGATTGAGTTTGGGGGTGATGAATCATAAGGGGGTTCAAAAAATTTGGGGGGGGGATTTTTTTTTTTTTCTTTTTTTCCTTTTTTTTTTCTTTTAAAATTTTCCATTTTAAGTTGGTTATTTCTGATTTATATTTAAAAGCAAATAATAATGATATTGTAGGAGATACACACCAAACAGGATGTGTAAATTTTTATATAATAAGTATTGTGCAATAGCAAGAAATTTTCAATTGCACAGTATTGCACAATAGCAAGAAATCTTCAATTGCACAGTATTGCGCAATAGCAAGAAATCTTCAATTGCACAGTATTGCGCAATAGCAAGAAATATCCAATAGCACAATATTGCGCAATAGCAAGAAATTGTCAATTGTACAGTATTGCGCAATAGCAAGAAATATTCAATTGCACAGTATTGTGCAAAAGAAGATACTTCTTATAAATTGCTTATTTCTTGATCAATTTCAATGGGGTTTTATTCTTGAATTCTTGGGGTTCTTTAATATGCTGAATATAACCGTGTATTAAGTTTTTGGATTTTGGGCCCCGTTTTTAAATTGGTCCACATTGAGGTCCAAAGGGTCCAAAATTTAACTTTGTTTGATTTCATCAAAAATTGAATTATTGGGGTTCTTAGATATGCCGAATCTAACCGTGTATTTAGATTCTTAATTTTTGGTTCCGTTTTCAAATTGGAGTACATTAAGGTCCAAAGGGTCCAAAATTAAACTTAGTTTGATTTTAACAAAAATTGAATTTTTAGTGTTCTTTGATATGCTGAATCTAAACATGTATTTAGATTTTTGATTATGGGCCCAGTTTTCAAGTTGGTCCAAATCGGGGTCCAAAATTAAACTTTGTTTGATTTCAACAAAAATTGAATATATGGGGTTCTTTGATATGCTGAATCTAACCATGTATTTAGATTTTTGGGCCCTGTTATCAACTTTGTCCACATTGAGGTCAAAAGGGTCCAAAATTAAACTTTGTTTGATTTCATCAAAAATTGAATTCTTGGGGTTCTTTGATATGCTGAATCTAACCATGTATTTAGATTTTGGATATTGGACCATAATAGGTGAATGTCCAATTTAAAATTTTTAAGTTCTTAGACCACATTCATTTTGTGTCAGAAAGCTATGCTGTGTCAAATATTTAATCACAATCCAAGTTCAGAGCTGTATCAAGCTTGAATGTTGTGTCCATACTTGCCCCAACTGTTCAGGGTTATACACGAAAGGAAGGTTGGGATTGATTTTGGGGGTTATGGTACCAACAGTTAAGGAATTAGGGGCCAAAAAGGGGCCAAAAATAAGCATTTTTGTAACTTTCAGACAATAACTTGTGTGTTAGTGTATGGATCTCTCTGACATTCTACCACAAGGTTCCATATCACAAAGGGAAGGCTGTAATTGATTTTGGGGGTAATTGCCTCAAAATTTTAGGAATTAGGGGCCAAAAAAGGGGCAAAAAACAAGCATTTTTCTAGTTTCATGACAATAACTTGTGTGTAAGTGTTTGGATATTTCTGAAATTGTACTACAAGGTTTCATATCACGAAGGGAAAGCTGGAATTGAGTTCGGGGGTAATTGCCTGAAACGTTTAGGAATTGGGGGCCAAAAAGGGGCCAAAAATAAGCATTTTTCTAGTTTCAAGACAATAACTTGTGTTCAAGTGTATGGATCTCTCTGAAATTGTACTGAAAGGTACCATACCACAAAGGGAAGGCTGGGATTGAGTTTGGGGGTGATGAATCATAAGGGGGTTCAAAAAATTTGGGGGGGGGATTTTTTTTTTTTCTTTTTTTTTTCTTTTTTTCCTTTTTTTTTTCTTTTAAAATTTTCCATTTTAAGTTGGTTATTTCTGATTTATATTTAAAAGCAAATAATAATGATATTGTAGGAGATACACACCAAACAGGATGTGTAAATTTTTATATAATAAGTATTGTGCAATAGCAAGAAATTTTCAATTGCACAGTATTGCACAATAGCAAGAAATCTTCAATTGCACAGTATTGTGCAATAGCAAGAAATCTTCAATTGCACAGTATTGCGCAATAGCAAGAAATATCCAATAGCACAATATTGCGCAATAGCAAGAAATTGTCAATTGTACAGTATTGCGCAATAGCAAGATATATTCAATTGCACAGTATTGTGCAAAAGAAGATACTTCTTATAAATTGCTTATTTCTTGATCAATTTCAATGGGGTTTTATTCTTGAATTCTTGGGGTTCTTTAATATGCTGAATATAACCGTGTATTAAGTTTTTGGATTTTGGGCCCCGTTTTTAAGTTGGTCCAAATCGGGGTCCAAAATTAAACTTTGTTTGATTTCAACAAAAATTGAATAATTATGGGGTTCTTTGATATGCTGAATCTAACCATGTATTTAGATTTTGGATATTGGACCATAATAGGTGAATGTCCAATTTAAAATTTTTAAGTTCTTAGACCACATTCATTCTGTGTCAGAAACCTTTGCTGTGTCAAATATCTAATCACAATCCAAATTCAGAGCTGTATCAAGCTTGAATGTTGTGTCCATACTTGCCCCAACTGTTCAGGGTTCGACCTCTGCGGTCGTATCAAGCTGCGCCCTGCGGAGCATTTTATTCAGGATTGGCACCCTGCCCTTTTGAAATCCTAGCTGGAACACTGTGCTGGAAAGTTGTAAATCAATGCTTGCCTGTACAGATATTTGTTTATTTATGGAGGATAGATGAGTGTAAGACATTTTACTCATCCAGCAGTAATCTACCTACAGTGATGAAGTAGTTTATCTTGCTTCATTTACCCGTTACAACCTTCCAGAATTGAATCATATGTCATGTATTTCATTTGTTTTAAACATTATATTTTATTACTTTGTACAATTTAGGTAAAGATCTTGAAAGTATTCCAGCCATTGTAGCAGATACTGGTTGTGATGAGTCTATTTTAGAAATGACAAAGCAAGCTAAAGTTGTCCTGAACTGTGTTGGACCAGTAAGTCATAACATTTTTTTTTATGAATAATCATACATGTATATGGAGACAAAATTTTATAATTTGCAGAAAACACGAATTTAAAATTCATGACTGTAATAATTTGATTATTTCATTTAAATCATTTTATCATGTGTATGAATGTACATGTATTAAATAAAATTGAGAATGGAAATGGAGAATATGTCAAAGAGACAACAACCCGACCAAAGAGCAGACAACAGCTGAAGGCCACCAATGGGTCTTCAACGCAGCGAGAAAATCCCGCACCCTGAGGTGGTCCTCAGCTTGCCCCTAAATAAAATTGTGTACTAGTTCAGTGAAAATGGACGTCACACTAAACTTCAAAACATATAAATGAACTAAAATTAAAAAAAACATACAAGACTAACAAAGGCCAGAGGCTCCTGACTTGGGACAGGCGCAAAAATGCGGTGGGGTTAAACATGTTAAAAACTGTTTTCTAAACATGAACAATATATTTTCTTAACAAGCAAGTATTTCGTCATACCCCTTGTCCATCTGTATTTTCTTTCATCCCAACAATTTTCGTCACACTAGTATTTTTCTCAGAAACTACTCAACAGAGTGGCTTCATAGTTGGTGGTTTTTACTATTTATTGTAGTAAAAACTTGATACAAAGTAAGATATATTTAAACATTTATCTTTTAGCATGTTTCAGCTGAAATAAATGAATGAATTTGATATGTTTTATTCATTTTCAACACTTATACCTACTAATTTAGTCCTTACAAGTCCATAGTTTAGATTAATAAAAATTGACAAATTAATTATTACAACATTTTTCAAGATATTTTTTTTTGTAAATGCATAATTTTTACAGGTATCTTATTACCTATCATGATCACCTGGCATTGCTAGGTGTGAAAAATTAATTACTAAAACAACAGCCCCCAATAAATGATGACAAAATATGGGTTGAAAGTAATAAATTGGATATTTGAAGACTCACCTAAACAATCAAATATTTCCTGTCTATTAAAGTCTGTGAAAAGAAAATCATCTTCATGCAGGAAATGGAAAGTATGATGGACCTTACTTTTACATGTCTTAAGGCTTCTGTAATTTATGGTTTAAACCAAAAAATATATAATGTAAAATAAATTTTTACCTTTACCTAATCAATTTTTACTTACACATAGTACAACCACCTTGACCTAAAGCACCTAACTGAAACCTAAAAGAGCCCATTTGGAACTTCTATACACTATAAGACAACAACAAAACCAGTGCAAAATGTAATGATTCCAATATTTTGTACAAATAAATCATTGTAAATCACTGTTTATTAAGAATTTACAATAAAAATAGAACTAAGACCACTTAAAATGGCTTTAACACTTTCATTATTTCATTACTTAGATAATTGACCAGGTAGAGAGTGGTTTTTGTCGAGCCTGCGACTTTTGTCGCAGAAAGCTCGACATAGGGATAGTGATCCGGCGGCGGCGGCGTTAGCTAACTTCTTAAAAGCTTTATATTTTAGAAGGTGGAAGGTCTGGATGCTTCATACTTTGTATATGGATGCCTCATGTTACGAAGTTTCCGTCAGTCACATGTCCAATGTCCTTGACCTCATTTTCATGGTTCAGTGACTACTTGAAAAAAAGTTAAGATTTTTTGTAATGTTAGATTCTCTCTTATTATAAGTAATAGGATAACTATATTTGGTATGTGCGTACCTTGCAAGGTCCTCATGCCCGTCAGACAGTTTTCACTTGACCTCGACCTCATTTCATGGATCAGTTAACAAGGTTAAGTTTTGGTGGTCAAGTCCATATCTCAGATACTATAAGCAATAGGTCTAGTATATTCAGTGTATGGAAGGACTGTAAGGTGTACATGTCCAACTGGCAGGTGTCATCTGACCTTGACCTCATTTTCATGGTTCAGTGGTTACAGTTAAGTTTTTGTGTTTTGGTCTGTTTTTCTTATACTGTATGCCATAGGTCTACTATATTTGGTGTATGGAGTGATTGTAAGGTGTACATGTCTAGCGGGCAGGTGTCATCTGACCTTGACCTCATTTTCATGGTTCAGTGGTCAAAGTTAAGTTTTTGAGTTTTGGTCTTTTTTTCTAATACTATATGCAACAGTTCAACTATATTTGGTATGTGCGTACCTTGCAAGGTCCTCATGCCCGTCAGACAGTTTTCACTTGACCTCGACCTCATTTCATGGATCAGTGAACAAGGTTAAGTTTTGGTGGTCAAGTCCATATCTCAGATACTATAAGCAATAGGTCTAGTATATTCGGTGTATGGAAGGACTGTAAGGTGTACATGTCCAACTGGCAGGTGTCATCTGACCTTGACCTCATTTTCATGGTTCAGTGGTTATAGTTAAGTTTTTGTGTTTTGGTCTGTTTTTCTTATACTGTATGCCATAGGTCTACTATATTTGGTGTATGGAATGATTGTAAGGTGTACATGTCTAGCGGGCAGGTGTCATCTGACCTTCACCTCATTTTCATGGTTCAGTGGTCAAAGTTAAGTTTGTTCAGTTTTGGTCTTTTTTTCTAATACTATATGCAATAGTTCAACTATATTTGGTGTATGGAAATATTTTATGATCTATTTGGCAGTCACGCAGGTTTTATTTGACCTTGACCTCATTTTTACGGTTCATTGCTCAGTGTTAAGTTTTTGTGTTTTGGTCTGTTTTTCTTAAACTATAAGCAATAGGTCAACTATATTTGTTGTATGGAAGAATTGTTAGCTGTACATGCCTGCCTAGCATGGTTCATCTGACCTTGACCTCATTTTCATGGTTCATTGGTCAATGTTTAGTTTACTTGGTTAATGTTAAGTTTATGTGACAGTTGTAATAAAGCTTTATATTTAGGACTATCAACATAATATCAATGATTAGTAAAGAAGGCGAGACATTTCAGTGTGTGCACTCTTGTTATAGTAATGTCCACTCAAAATTTCAATCGACCGGTATTTGCCAGTATTTACCGATATTTACCGCCGGCATGGTCAAAACTAGTATTGACCACTTTTTGCCAATCTTGGTTAGAAACCTACTTCCTGTTTGCCAACACTTGAATTTTTTTCTCGCCTTGACGGAGTAAAAAAGCCAGACATAGGTATGCTGTTTCTGGCGGTGACGGAGGCGGCGTCAACAATGTATTAGTTTGTGATTAGGTCTAGTTTATGGTGAACCACTAGCGGTAGGTCAATGATATTTGGTATGCAGTTGTATTATCATTGGCACATCTCATTACCGTGGAGATTATTTGGCCCCGCCCCCTCAGTCATGGTCTATTGACTTTGAAACTTTTGCTTAGTTTGCATGTTTTAGTTTGTGATTAGGTCAGTTCAAGGGGAACCATTAGTGGTAGGCCAATGTCAATTGGTATGCAGTTGTATAAGCATTAGTACATCTCATTTCCATGGAGAATATTTGGTCCAGTCCCCTCAGTCATGGTTTATTGACTTTGAAACTTTTGCTTCTTTTACATATATTAGTTTGTGATTAGATCAGTTTAAGATGAACTGCTAATGTCAAGTCTCATTTCCATAGAGATTATATAGCCCCACTCCCTCATCATGGTTCATTGTCTTTGAAACTTTTACATAGTTTACAAGTTAATGTTTATGTTTAGGTTTGTTTAAAGGGAACGACTTATGATAAGTCGATGTTATTTGGTATGCAGTTGTATTAGCATTGGCACATTTCATTTCCATGGAGATTGTTTAGCCATGTACTTTCAGTCATGGTTCATTGACTTTGAATATTTGCATAACTTACATGTTAAAGTATTGTTATTTTAATTTCAAGATTTGCATTATCAAAATTACAAAAAGGCGAGACATATCTCTGTGTTAACAGTTTATGTAATATGTTGAATGAACTTAAAAAAAATTGTCACACTTTTCTCATAAAACTACCGAAAAGAACAACTTCATATTTAATCTGCACTGCTCATCAGTGATGAGTTATAACTTGTGTGCACTTTTCAGATCTGCTAGACAAATGATATTTCCTTTTCTGATACTTTGAAATACGAGTGGGAGTTTTGCCTTAAAATTTTTTTGGACATAAGATGCTTTTCTATTGCATTCAATGCTCCAATCATTGTAAACAAAAGGTAAAAAATTGGGGTTGACATATATGCAGTTGTGTCAGCTCATTGCTGTGGATAGGCAGTTATTGAACACACAGTGATCCAATGTGCTTCCCATTTTACCTTTAAAGACCTGGTCTAGGAAGCAAAAACTTAAATTTTTTGTTGGATGATCACAAATACGTCACCATTTGCCCAGAACCATCCTCTTCATTGATCTTTGTTTTAACAGACAACCCAAAATGTTTCTGTCTTGGATGAAATAAATAAGGGAATTTTGCACTTACTGTAGGTTTAAACCAGCCCAGTGAGACACTTTTTGATATCATTTTTTCAAAACATGATTTAAACTACAGTAACATTTGGTGAAAGTTTTAAGAGTCCCAATCTGCTTCAAAATATTATAACCCAGTGCTTATACCATCAATCAAACAGTAAAAATAAAATTATTGCATTACATTGTGTAGGTAAGCTAAAATATGCAAGATTGATTATATCTTTTCAGTACCGTTTCCATGGGGAAAAAGTTGTAAAAGCATGTATTGAAGGTGGAGCCAGCCATTTGGATATAAGTGGTGAACCACAGGTAACTGATAATGTACATTGTTTTGAGATGTCAACTACTGCTTGTGAAAAATAATGGGAGATAATAAACCTACTGAGATTCCCGACCGAAATCTTATAAGCGTTAGGTCCCATGACACAAAGTATCATTTAGGAAGGCAATTTGTGCAAGGAGAACACATAAACAGTTAATAAGTTACATCTAAGGATATTTGTTGTGCAAAATGCTGAACAAAATCATTTTGTTAGCATTGAAAAGATTAGTGGTAGTGTGTCATTATTTTACATAGGTATGTAAGAAAATGATAGTTTGCAAATAAAGCTTAACACAGCCTTTACGTTTAGGAACCATTCAACTGTATATTAAAGCAAATAAATTTTTTTTTTTTGCATAAAGCGGACGCACAGACCGAAAAACATAATGCCCCTCTACTATCGTAGGTGGGGCATAAAAATCGTTCTCTTTATGGCTACAGTTTGTATAGTATTTAAGCAATTTAAACTAAAAATGGAAAATAAGCTAAACAATTTTACAATATATAACATTGAAGAGTAAGTAAAATATATTAAATTGTATTGTAAATTCTCTCATGGTTGTGGCCTGTTATCTATTTCTTGCATCATGTGCATGAAGAGATGCAGTGTGATACGAAAATCTGAGTTAATTTGATTGGCTTATCCAGCATCATGAGACAATATTACTACATTTCCATTAGCTATTCATTGGGTCATTGATGACTTTCAAAGGTTAAGATGATGTACATTTCGTCCATGGCAACGGACATATGTGATTTCTTCAATAATATACAAAACACTCACACTTTTCACATGAAAATCTTCTATTTGTCAAATTTTATTACATTCTGAAGCATACAAAAAGTTTTAAAATGTCGGATGTTAAAGTTTGACACCGGAACAGGACATATGACGTCATACTTGAATGTGCAAAAGACTAGACCAATTTGTTAGTGGAAGTTAACTTAACACAACGAGAGTGTTGACCATAAGAGAAATAGGTTTAACAACTTGTTAGAAGTGGATATCGCATGATATCATCTCTCGTTATTTAATTTAAATAGTAAAATTACTAATTAGATATAAATTTACTAAATTTACTCCCCAAAGGCTCGTTTATTATTATATTGAAATTAAATAACTCGAGTTGATATCAAGCAATATCCAATTCTCACTCGTTATGAAACCTTTAAATATCAGTTGCAACTCGAATATAAAGCTTTTCCATGGAAATAATTGAGTGAGCATACAAAAAAGAACTGCTTGATCGCCAATTTAAAGCAATTACAGTTCATTCCCTTTGCATATAAGAATTTTTTTCAAGAAGGGTTAGCCTTTTTATTTTTTATAAGTAACTTATAACCACTTACCGGGTATATATGTATCATCCTATTTTATTGAATTCTAGATATCTTCTTCATATCAATTAAATAAACATATATATGTGTTAAATATTGTGTGCAGATCCATTTTTCAGAAACCTTTACACAAATGTATCTTAGTGTATCAATGATATTTGAACTTCACAATTACAGTTCTAAAAATTTTCATGATTACTTCAACTCTGTTAAGCAACATGTAGACTATTGTAACCAACATTATTTGCACAGGTGTTTTTAAGTTAGGATATTTCTGTCTTACAGACTCATCATCTAGTTCTGACTTACATTTTTAGTTCCTTGAAAGGATGCAGCTGATGTATAACAATAAAGCTAAAGAAGCCGGGGTGTTTGTAATAGGAACATGTGGATTTGATAGCATACCAGCAGAAATGGGAGTTGTGTTTGCACAAAACAAGTTTCAAGGTAATTCCTCATATAGTTTAGTTTTTAATATAAATCTGATTGTGATCTGTATAAAAATGATAACTGATGACAAGCCTTCCATTGAAGAACATATTTTTCATTACAAATTTCTTAGATTGAATTAGTTTTTTGCATATATGTAACATTCAGAAACGTGTCCATCCCCCTAAACATGTCCATGTCCCCAAACATGTCCATAAGACATCACTGAATTCCCAAACATATCTAGTTGATGAAGAATGGAAAAACATGTCTTTTTCATGATCACCCAACCATTATTAAAAAGGAGATGTGGTATGATTGCCAATGAGACATCTATATGCCAAAGTTCAAATGAAGTGGATGTAAGCAATTATGGGAAACCGTAAGGGCTTCAACAATGAGAAAAACCCATAACATATAGTCAGCTATAAAAGGCCCCGACATGGAAAATAGGAAACAATTCAAGTGAGAAAACTAACAGTCTAATTTATAACAAAACAATTTGCAAAAAACAAATATGACATACATGAAGCAACAACAACCACTGAACAACAGGCTCCTGACTTGGGACAGGCACATACAGAATGTGGCAGGGTTAAATTAGTTTGCTGGCACCAAACCCTCCCCCTAACCTGGGACAGTGGTGTAACAGAACAATATAAGAACAAACTATAATAAAAATCAGTTGAAAAAGGCTTAACTCATCAGATCGATACAAAGCAGAAAACATCTAACGAAATCACAGACCGGACGTTGCAGCATATCTATACACCACACAACAAAAAAGATTCTAAGTAAAGATCTGAGAGCACTTGCAGTTACTGACAGCTAGTTCAAAGCCAATAACAACTAATAAAAAAATCATGTGTTTAAGACTAAAAAATTGGTCAGTACACATCCAACATCCAATGGATTTGGTGTAAAGCCGTCATTAACGTTCAGAGAAAAACATGACCTTGTGTAATGCCAAAATATAGGTATTGACAGATTGTAGTACCGTGAATGTGCATATGTGTATAACAATAATATTCAGTATGGTGTTAATTTACTAATAACAAAATCAATATTTATACCAATAAAAACAATATTAAAAGATATAAATACAGTGCATATTTTTTATACAATTTGGATTTGTACCAAACTTGGACAGAAGCTTGTTTATGATCAAATGCTAGTATCTAGAAGGAAATTTTGTTTTCTTCCAGTTAACATTACATTCAGTCTGCAGTTAAAGTTTTTAAACATTTATTAGATTCATAAACTATCCTGGATTTTTACCAAACTTGGACAGAAGCTTCTTACAATCAAAAGATAGTATCAAGTGGAATATTGTTATTGATTTACTTCCTCATTTTTGTTGAGCCTGCGATTAACAGAAAAAGTAGGCGAGACACTGGGTTCCGCGGAACCCTAACAAATTTTTTTTTCTAAGAAGTGGTAGTATGACAGTAGCTCTTTAAAGGGCCAGATTTCCACGAATTGATGCAGAATTGTAAAAAAATCAGTTTGGGTGCTGCCAAATTTGAAAATTACCAAGACAGAACATTGTATCAGATAGTTTTCATTTTCTCATATCAGTTGTACCAAGTAAGTTCTCTCACTCCAATTACTGATTATTATTTGTTTTTGTTTATTAGATTAAAATAAAGTTGTCAATTTGAATAGCTTCAATTCACATTTTGGACCTCTGACCATCTCTGCAATTTTATGAAGTCTCCATTTTGGATTTTGTTTCTTTTAACTCAGTATCAGTTTTAATCTTCAGTAATTGAACGTCTGTATTGATAACCTTGGATAGTGTTGTCTTTTTTTTTTTTCTTTTGGACTTGAACAGAAACCCAACATCTTCAATCCTATCATGCATTGATTGAATTTGCTATAGACATAACTGAAGTCACAGGCGATATATTAGCGCTAAAAAACGTGGACACATTTTGGTGGATAACAACTGTCTGAAACGTTTGATAGACAAAAAATCTGACACGTTTGAGCAAAGTCAATTATAGGTCACATTTGGGCGATTTGTGTTTTTAAAGACATGTTTGGGTGAAATAGAAATTTTTTTTTGGGGGGGGGGGGGGGGGTAGACATATTTGAGAGTTACATATATGCTAGGTTATCCTCCTAGGTGGCTTTAGTTATATAAACTTTTCATTTTGAATGTCTTCACTTTTTCAAGATATTGATATCTTTCAAATAGAATTAAAGGTTTCCTATTTGCAACCAATGGCTAAATCAAAATAAAATTGAAAGTTGCAATATTTAAGGAAAATGATCATACACCGTCATAATCAATTCTGTCTATAAAAACAACTTTTAAATGCAGCATATACATAAGATACATACTTAAATTTTTATGCTTGATATGGATAAAATATTAAATTCTATTTTTCCAAATTTAAAAACTTAAACAATATAAGATAGTACTGAACTTTTTGATAGCCAAATTGTCAGCATTTACCTGATCAATAATTATATTTCAAGCAACGTTTTTTTTTAACAGGTGAAATTAATTCCATTGAAGCTTACCTAGACTTTGAGGCAAAAGAGGTAATACTGTATACCTTCATTTTATATATATATAAATCAGTTTCTTGCCAGGATTTTTTCTCTGTGTTATGCATAGTTGATTCAATGATGATCATGTTTATATCCGTAGTGTTCATCCTAAATCAAAATTGTTTGTAGTGACAAAAGTATGTATATATACAATGTACATATAAAAATGATAGAACAACTATACAGTATAAAATATAGTTTAAATTCAGATCATACTTGTTGAAGACCTGTTACTGTCAGAAATTCAAAGTTTTTCTACTATATGTTAAACAGAAACTTTTGACATATGAGAGGTATCCAAAGATTGAGTTTAGCACTCGGACAAACAGTGGGTCACTAGTGTGCATTTTTTTTTGCTTATATTTTAGAACATGGACCGTTGTCACTTATGAACATATGCATTAAGAACTAAACAGTTTTCACTTTATTCAAACATTAGTCATATTTAGCTATGGTGTTTCAAGAAGAGACAAATATCTGCCAAATGAACCAAGTATATTTCTTTCTCTTATGGTTGTGGCCTGTTATCTATTTCTTGCATGAAGAAATATACCTTGTATCACACTGTACGGAGTGTGATGCGAAAACAGTGTGTATTTGATTGGCTAATCCAGCATCTTAGACGATACTACGACATTTCCATTGGCTATACGTTAGGTCATTGATAACTTTCAAAGGTTAAGACAATGTTTATTTAGTCCATGGCAACGGATATATATGATTTCTTCAATAATATACAAAATGCTCACACTTTTCATCTGGAAATCTTCTTTCTGTCAAATTCTATTACATTCTGAGGCGTAATTTCGAAATGTCTGATGTTAAAGTTTGACGTCCGAAAAGGACAGTATAGGCTCGTTTATTATTATATTGAAATTAACTAACTCGAGTTGATATCAAGCGATATCCAATTCTCTCTTGTTATGAAACCTTTAATTCTCCCATAAATTTGGATGCACTTCTTTCTTCTTTAAATCTGAAAAAGAAAGTTTTGAAATTAACAACATAAACTTAATTGAAGAGGAGCTTAAAGCTGAATTTTGAAATTTATATGATATTCTAAAGCAAATATAGATTTTGCTTTGCTTGAGAATGTTACATATCCAAAATTGAGGATGTCATAAAGTGATAGTATCATGTCCCTGCACAAAATATTTTTAACCTTTGGAGGAGCTGGCAAGCGTTTTTTCAAACATCAATAGAACTAAATGAAGAGAAAACCTAATATCCTACTTCATAGCTTAAGTCATCCCAAAATAAGGGTTTGGTGAATGATTTTTTTTGTTCAAAGGAATGCTATTTGTTGCATTAGTATTTTGTAAAAAAAATGATTAGCTTTCAAAGTATATTATTTCATATCAGCAACTGTCAACAATATATGATTCAGGAATGATTTTTTTTTGTCTTTTCACAAGCATCACTTAATTATTTGTTTTACCTGTGTTTTTGTTAAAAGGTACTTTTATTAAAAAAAAACAACAATTAAATTTCTATTTCAAGGGTACTGCTATTAATGTAACCACACTGGAATCAGCCGTTTATGGATTTGCTCATGCCAATGAATTGAAGAGTCTGAGAAAATCTCTGTACCCTGAACCACTACCAAAACCAAAATACAGGTTAAATAAAAGGTACAGACATGACAACCAAATTGCCAAACGATTTCTTATGGTTGTGATATGCTATGCATTTGCATGGAAAATAATTTATAGGTTTATTGTGGACATAAAATGCTGTGAACCAACTGTTATTTAAGAGCAATTTATTTTCATTTGATTTGAAAGTAAAACTAAAATGTTCAAATTTCATGTATTTTAAAAGGAACATATATTAATTGTATGTCAATGAAACTACACACATTATTTAATCAATTGAAAATAAATTGCCATTAAAAAGTTGGCCCACAGTTAATAATTTTAGAATATTGAAATTTATACAATATTTGTAACAACCCATTGATATACAACAGTTTGTATCTTCAGGAGTTGTTTGAACAGATTGTATGAATCTTTATTCGGCTATGGATGTAAATCTATTTCCATAGAACTTATTTGTTTTAGGGGTTAGTAGGTAATGTGACAACATTAGAATCAGCTGTTTATGGCTTTGCTCATGCTAGTGAGCTGAAGAGTTTGAGGCATTCTCTTTATCCAGAACCACTACCAAAGCCAAGTTTTAAACTTCAAAAACGGTAACATAGAATGTGTTAAAAGCACACTATTTATCTGGCTTATAAAAAAATATATGCTTTAATTTTCTGTATGGTATGATTTTTAATTATACCCCTGCTAAAAGGAGCCGTAGTATAATGCTTTACCTTTACGTCCATTTGTATGTCCCATGATACATTTGTCACATTTTTATACGCCCGTTTACGGGACGTATTATGGTATACCGTTGTCCGTCCGTCTGTCCGTCGTCAACATGTCGGACAATAACTCAAAAATGCTTTAACCAATTTGCATAAAACTTTGGTGAATTGTTTATATCTATTGACGTGAGCTCCCTTTTGTTTTTTTATAAAATTTAGATTTCACATTTCCGAGTTATGGGGTTTTATTCATTAAAAAAAGGGTGATTTTCCAGTTTTCGGACAATTAGTCAAGAATGCTTTCACCAACTTGCAAGAAATTGTGGTGAATTGTTTATATCTATTGACATGAGCTCCCTTTTGATTTTTATAAATTTTAGATTTTACATTTCCGAGTTTTATTCATAAAAAAAGGGGGGATTTTCCAGTTTTCGGACAAAAACTCATAAATGCTTTCAGCAATTCTTATGAAACTTTGGTGAATTGTTTGTATGTATTGATGTAAGCTCCCTTGAGAATTTTATAAATTTTACATTTTACATTTCTGAGTTATGGGGTTTTATTCATTAAAAAAAGGGGTGATTTTCCAGTTTTCGGACAATAACTCAAAAATGCTGCCACCAATTTTCATGAAACTTTGGTGAATTGGTTATATCTATTGATGTAAGCTCCCTTTTTATTTTCATAAATTTCTAATATGACATTGAGAATTAATTGAACTTTATTTGTTTATAGTCTGACAACAGATTTACTAAGTATTGAACAACAGCAAGAAATCTTTAATTGAATATAAATTCAATTCATATAACCAATTTCAAGTTCTTTGACTACATTTATTCAGAAACCTATAATATGTCAAATATTTCATTACAATCCAAATTCAGACCTGAATCAAGCTTGAATATTTTGTCCATTTTTGCCCCAACTGTTCAGGGTTGGACCTCTTCGGGCGTATCTAGCTGCGCTCAGCGAAGCAGTTTATTTACAGAATTACAAATAAGAACTTCCTGAAATTTGGTATCAGGCTTAATGTCAAAATGCTAAACCATGATGCATTTTCAAATTCATTGCTCCTCAACTTCCTTTTTATACGACTGCAAAAAAAATTTGCGGTCATATATTGGTATGACGTTGGCGTAGTCATCCTCTTCCGAAGACACATTGGTTTTCGCACTCTAACTTTAGTTTAATTGAATGGATCTCTATGAAATTTTACAATAAGGTTCAATACCACAAAAGGAAGGTTGGGATTGATTTTGGGTGTTATGGTACCAACAGTTAAGGAATTAGGGGCCAAAAATAAGCATTTTTGTAACTTCCAGACATAACTTGTGTGTTAGTGTATGGATCTCTCTGACATTGTACCACAAGGTTCCATATCACAAAGGGAATGCTGGGATTGATTTTGGGGGTAATTGCCTCCAAATTTTAGGAATTATGAGGCCAAAAAAGGGGCAAAATAAAGTGTTTTTCTAGTTTCATGACAATAACTTGTGTGTAAGTGTATTGGTCTTTCTGAAATTGTACTACAAGGTTCCATATCACAAAGGGAAAGCTGGAATTGAGTTTGGGGGTAATTGCCCAAAACGTTTAGGAATAAGGGGCCAAAAAGGGGCCAAAAATAAGCATTTTTCTAGTTTCCAGATAATAACTTGTGTTCAAGTGTATGGATCTCTCTGAAATTGTACTGCAAGGTACCATACGACAAAGGGAAGGCTGGGATTGAGTTTGGGGATGATGAATCATAAGGGGGTTCAAAAAATTTGAGGGGGGATTTTTTTTCTTTAAAATTTTCCATTTTAAATTGGTTATTTCTGATTTATATATAAAAGCAAAGAATAATGATATTGTTTGAATAGGTAAATTAAAAAATTTTAAGTTCTTAGACCACATTCATTCTGTGTCAGAAACCTATGCTGTGTCAAATATTTAATCACAATCCAAATTCAGTGCTGTATCAAGCTTGAATGTTGTGTCCATACTTGCCCCAACTGTTCAGGGTTCGACCTCTGCGGTCGTATCAAGCTGCGCCCAGCGGAGCATTTTATTACTGAATACTTAAATATTCTAACACATAATGCCCATTCATGAAATTTCCTCACATTTTTTTTAGACAACTATAAATAAGAGCTTCCTGAAATTTGTTATTGGGCTTGATGTGAGCATTCGTTACTCTTTGAAGCCTTTTCACATTCATTGCTCATCAACTTCTGGTTTATTATATATTTAGATATATTTACACAAAATGGCCATTTAGACATTTTATATCAAATTTCTCTGCTATTGCTTCTATTGCATATTTATCTGAATATTTTTTTTCATTTCTAAACAATTTATAAGTAGGAACTGTACTGCTTTCATTTAAAATGGAAACTTATGAATCTTTTTGTTTAAAGACTAATTTTTGTCTCGCCTTGTCGCAGTATGCGAGACATAGGTATTTCTATCCGCCGGCGGAGGCGTAAACTATTTGTATAAAGCTTTATATTGCTGAAGGTAGAAGACCTGGATGCTTCATATCTTGTATGGAGATACCTTATGTTACGAAGTTTCCGACTGTCATATGTCCAATGTCCTTGACCTCATTTTCATGGTTCAGTGACTGCTTGAAAAAAAAAAAAGTTTTTTTTTGTCATGTGAATTTCTCTCTTATTATGAGTACATGTAATAGGATAACCATATTTGGTATCTTGGTTCCTTGCAATGTCTACATGTCCGTCAGACAGGGTTCACCTGACCTCGACCTCATTTCATGGATCAGTGATCAAGGTTAAAGTTATGTGATTAGGTTTGTTTCTCAAATACTATAAGCAGTAGGTCATCTATATGTGGTGTGTGGAATGACTGTAAGGTGTACATGTCTGTCTAACAGGTACCATCTGACCTTGACCTAATTTTCATGGTTCATGGGTCAGTGTTAAGTTTTTGTGTTTTGGTTTGTTTTTCAAGTACTATAAGCAACAGGTCAATTATATTTGGTGTATGGAATGATTGTAAGGCGTACATGTCTGTCTAGCTGGTACCATCTGACCTTGACCTCATTTTCATGGTTCATTGGTCAATGTTAAGTTTTTGTGTTTTGGTCTGTTTTTCAAGTACTATAAGCAATAGTCAACTATATTTGGTGTATGGAATGACTGTAATGGGTACATTTCAGTCTGGCAGGTTTCATCTGACCTTGACCTCATTTTCATGGTTCATTGGTCAATGTTAAGTTTTTGTGGTTTGGGCTGTTTTTCTTAAACTATAAGCAATAGGTCAACTATATTTGGTGCATTGAATGATTATAAAGTGTACATGTCTGTTAGGCAGGTATCATCTGACCTTGACCTTATTTTCATGGTTCATTGGTCAATGTTAAGTTTTTGTGGTTTGGTTTGTTTTTATACGACCGCAAAAAAATTTTGAGGTCGTATATTGGTATGACGTTGGCGTCGTCGTCGTCCGGCGTCGTCGTCCGAATACACAATGGTTTTCGCACTCTAACTTTAGTTTAAGTAAATGGATCTCTATGAAATTTTACCATAAGGTTCAATACCACAATAGGAAGGTGGGGATTGATTTTGGGGGTTATGGTACCAACAGTTAAGGAATTAGGGGCCAAAAAGGGGCCGAAAATAAGCATTTTTGTAACTTCCAGGCATAACTTGTGTGTTAGCATATGGATCTCTTTGACATTGTACCACAAGATTCCATATCACAAAGGGTCAATGCTGGGATTGATTTTGGGGTTAATTGCCTCAAAATTGTAGGAATAAGGGGCCAAAAGGGGGCAAAAAACAAGCATTTTTCTAGTTTCATGACAATAACTTGTGTGTAAGTGTATGGATCTTTCTGAAATTTTACTACAAGGTTCCATTTCACAAAGGGAAAGCTGGAATTGAGTGTTGTGGTAATTGCCCAAAACGTTTAGTAATAAGGGGCCTAAAAAGGGGTTTAAAATAAGCATTTTTGAGTTTCTAGACAATAACTTGTGTTCAAGTGTATGGATCTCTCTAAAATTGTATTACAAGGTACCATACCACAAAGGCAAGGCTGTTATTGAGCTTGGTTTGGGGGGAAAGGGGGTGGGGGTGATGAATCATAAGGGGGGGCGGGGTCAAAAAAGGGGTAATTTTTTTTTTTCCTTTTTTTTTTTGTTTAAAATTTACATTTTAAGTTAGTTATTTTTTATCACGAAGAGAAAGTAGGAATTGAGTTTTGGGGTTAATTGCTCAAACATTTATGAATAAGGGGCCAAATATTGGTCAAAAATAAGGATTTTTTTAGTTTGCAACAAAAACTTGTGTTCAAGTGTATGGATCTCTGTGAAATTGTATTGCAATGTACCATACCACAAATTGAAGGTTGTGATTGAGGTGGGGGATGATGAATCAAAAGGGGGTTGAAAAAATGTGTGGGAGGTAGGATTTTTTTTTTTCCTTTTTTTTTCTTTAAAATTTTCCATTTAAAGATGGTTGTTTCAGATTTATATATGAAAGAAAATAATAATGATACGGTTATATATCATGAGGAATTGAAATTTAAAATTATGTATATTGGAAATTTAAGTTACATTGGAAAGTAATAATTGGCTTTGGGGGGGGGGGGGGGGTTATGGCTCTAATGTTTAAGGAATAAGGGGAAAAAAGGTTAAAAAACAAGGGTTTCCATTTTAATAGACAAATAATTGAGTAAAGAACATTATTTAAAAGCAGTGTAAGGTTGGTAATTCAATCTCATTTAAATATCTCATCTACACTGCTTTTAAATTATGTAAATTGGAAATTTGCCAATAACTTTATTGTTAATAAATGCATTGGAAATTTGCCAACAATTTTAGTGTAATAAACTTCATTGGAAATTTGCCAATATAAAATTTTGCTGATGAAGGATTTTTGTTTACCTTTAGCCTTGACTATGAAGTCATTTTCTATGTTTATAGCCTTATGATGTAGTTGAATTATTTAATACTTTTATGATGTGTTTAAATGGGGTTTTATCATGTTTATGGTTGCAAATTTCTTGTTTTAGTATAATAAACTCCATTTAAAATTTGCCAATAAAAATATTTTTGTTTATTTTTAGCTATGATTATGATGTCATTTTCTATTTTACTTTTATGGTTGCAAAGAAATTTTTATTTTTAGATATTACTGTTAAATGATGCTGATTAAGGTTTTTGCTATGTTTAGCCATGACTATGATGTCATTTTCTATTTTAATATCTGTTATGATGTACTTAAATGGGCTTTTATGGTTACAAAGGAATTTTATTTTTAGATATTACTATAAAATGTTGCTGATGCTGATTAAGGATTTTGTTTATTTTTAGCCATGACTATGATGTCATTTTCTATTTTAATACCTTTATGATGTAATTTCCATTTTTAGATATTACTGTTAAATGATGCTGATTAAGGGTTTTTTGCTATGTTTAGCCATGACTATGATGTCATTTTCTATTTTAATATCTTTATGATGTATTTAAATGGGCTTTTATGGTTACAAAGGAATTTTATTTTTAGATATTACTTTAAATGTTGCTGATTAAGGATTTTTGTTTATTTTTAGCCATGACTATGATGTGACTTTCTATTTTAATACCTTTATGATGTATTTAAATGGGCTCCCATGTATTTAGATTTTTGATTATTTATACATGTTACCAAATTGGTCCACATTGAACAAAAACGGTCCAAATTTCAACTTTATTACATTACATCAAACATTGAATTCTACATATTCTTTGATATATTGAAATTAACAAACAATTTAGTTTATGGATATTCCACCATAATAGGTAAATTAAATTTTTTCCAGTTCTTACACCACATTCATCCTGTGTCAGAAACCTATGCTGTGTCAAATATTTAATGACAATCCAAAGTCATAGCTGTATCAAGCTTGAATTTTGTGTCCATACTTGCCCCAACTGTTCAGGGTTCGACCTCTGCGGTCGTATCAAGCTGCGCCCCAGCGAAGCATTTTATTCAAGTATTTTAAGCAATAGGTCAACTATATTAGGTGTATGGAATGATTGTAAGGTGTATATGTCTGTCTGGCAGATATCATCTGACCTTGACCTCATTTTCATGGTTCATTGGTCAATGTTAATTTTTTTTTTACAAATCACGTAACTTTAACCTAATATGGTCTATTTTTCAATTATCATAAATCATAGGTCAACTATATTTTGTGCATAAAAAAATGTAAGGTGTATATGTCTGTCTGACACAATTTAACTGACCTGAGTTTCTGTGATGCTTTTATTTAAAACTTTATCTTTAAGACTTTCAACATAAAATCAATGGTCAGTAAAGCAGGCAAGACATTTCAGCGTGTGCACTCTTGTTTAAAATTCATTTTACAGTAATCATGAATTAATTTATAATATTTTATCAAAACATCACATTGCCTTTATATGTAATCAGCCTAATGTTAAGTAGAATACATAAAAATACAAATGGAAATATATATATAAAAATAAGATGATGTGGTATGATTGCCAATGAGACAACTCTCCACAGGAGACCAACTGACACAGAAATTAACAACTATAGGTCACCGTATGACTTTTTGTTAGCTAAGATACTGAGGATATATTAATGATACTGGTAATTAAGTACTACAACCTGATTAATTTGCATAACATGGTAAAAGATCTTTTCTGTTATTGATGCATGCATGGTGAATATTGCTTTTTATTAAGATAGTATGACATCTAATACATACAAAAAGTTTCAGTCTTAAGGCCTCGAATATTGGATCGATGCAATGGTTTAATAGGGTAAACATATGTTTTGCTTAGTATATTACTATAACATAAGATTTTGTTATAACTATTAATGTGACATATATCTATTACTTTATTTTACAGAGGTGCTGTACATAAAAATGAAATAGTAAATAAGTACTGTGTACCATTCATGGGAAGTGATAAATCAGTGGTCAATAGAACACAAAGATACAACTATGAACACAAGAAACAGAGACCTGTAATTATATAAGTTTCTACCATTCCATATTATTTTCAGATATATTGATGCTTACACAGTGTTCCAGCTAGGATTTCAAAAGGGCAGGGAACCAATCACGAAAAGAGCACTTTAGCACGCCGATTGACAATTCAAAAAGGGCACGTCAAAAATTGTCTTTAATAGTGTAAACAGCAGGGGTCTAGTCACTTTTACCAGGATCTTTAGGTTATTGCATGATTTGACTGATGTGATGCTTAGATATAAAGATTAGAAGAAGGATCCGGAAATCTAGTTTCACTTCAGTTATTTTCATGGGACATTCCTGAGCAACAAAAGTTGGGTTCCTCTGTTTTTAAAACCAGCAATCACAGCAGAAAAGAAATTGTAACGACTCTTTTACTGCATAATCATTATGCCTGTAAAAAACATTTAAATCGATATTTGGAATTAATTTTTATAAACTTGGAACGATTAAAATGACAGTATTTTTAAAATTAATTGAGAAAAGATCACGTTTACTTTCGATTTTTATACGAAATGAAAACGGGAAGTGACAAGAGGATAATAAATTAAGAATGAATCCGGATTCATCTACGAATTGGTTCGTGTTTAACAAAAAGGCAGGAAATGATAATTTTTATGCCCCCGCCATAGCGGAGGGGGCATTAAGTTTTACCCTTGTCCGTCTGTACGTACGTCCGTACGTCCCAGAATTGGTTCTCTAACTTGAGTTTGCCTCAACCAAATGTTATGAAACTTATACAAAATGCTAATTACCACAAAACACAGATCAAGTTTGAATTTTGGTGGCCTCACTTTAACCGTTGTAGAGTTATATCCCTTTATAAATGGAAAAATTGCAAATTTTTTAGTTTCTGTTCTCTAACTTGAGTTTGCCTCAACAAAATGTTATGAAACTTATACACAATGCTTATTACCACAAAACACAGATCAAGATTGAATTTTGGTAGCGTCACTCTATCTGATGTAGAGTTATGCCCCTTTATAAATGGAAAAATTGCAAAATTTTTAGTTTCAGTCCTTAACTTGAGTTTGTCTCAACCAAATGTTATGAAACTTATACACAATGCTTATTACCACCAAATACAGATCAAGTTTGAATTTTGGTAGAGTCATTCAAACCATTCTAGAGTTATGCCCCTTTATAAATGGAAAAATTACAAAATTTTTAGTTTCCGTTTTCTAACTTAAGTTTGCCTCAACCAAATGTTATGAAACTTATACACAATGCTTATTACCACCAAATAGAAATCAAGTTGAATTTTGGTAGCGTCACTTCAATCATTATCGAGTTATGCCCCTTTATAAATAGAAAAATTGCAAAATCTTTAGTTTCTGTTCTGGAACTTAAGTTTGCCCCAACCAAACATTATGAAACCTATACACAATACTTATTACCTTAAAACTCAGATCAAGTTTAAATTTGGGTAGCGTCACTTTTATCGTTCTTGAGTTATGTCCTTTTATTATGTTGTATGCAAGCGGGGGCATCATCTGTGCTCATGGGGACACATTCTCCATTTATTTAAATTAAGTTGCTCAGTATGAAATATATTTGTTTCTCTCATTTAATTTGATACTAAATGATTTCATATTTTACGTTTTAGTGTCTATTAAATTTATAAGAATACGTTCGCGCATATGCAGTACATGATAAAGAAAGCACCTGTTTGACTCTTGAAAATATTTCACAGCTTATAACACCTGCTGTAAATGTTAATTAGCTGAGGGTCATAAACTTGTCAGAAACATGAAGACAGGTGGAATTATATAGTATTTTCATCAAAATAATACGACAATAAAGGCATGGACTCGCGTAAAAGGGCAGGGCGTCTTAACAAAAAGGCACAGGGCGTCAGTCGGATAAGGGCTGGCGGACCGCCCTGTGAAAACGATCAAGCTGGAACACTGTTACAATATTCAGGAATATATGAATAAAGATTTAATTTTATAAACTGACATGATTAAGTTGGGCTTTCAAATTTAAAAAAGTCTGTCTATGTGTATGTAACTTTTTCTTAATGGCTAGACAATATTGATTATACTTTACAAAGTTGTTTAACACTGCCTTGGGACATGTATAAAAGAATATAATCCTTACATGTTTGAAGGGAGGTAATCAAGTTTAAATACATCAATATTGCACTATGGGGTAAAGGTCTTGTAAGCCCAATTCCTAACAGTTAGATAGATATTTAAACTTTACACAGTTTTGTGAGTTGACTCACAGTTCTAGTTTAATTAGGAGACATGGCTGTTAACTGAAATATTTATTGAGGGTGACAGGGAATTAAAATTCTTTATATTAACTAAAAAAGTCCGGTTGATCATGTATAATTTAAATATTCAATACCAGAACATTCAGAGGGATACTCAAGTTCACAACAACATTCCTAATTTCCTGGCAAAATTGAAATAACCTATATCATATCAAATGTCAATGATAATTTCACAGGAATTTTTGCTCTGAATCTATTTTCAATCACTTTTAGAGGTTTACTATTCCTGTTTATCTATTTCAGATCCAGTTTGATCCTTATGTAGCTTGCTCAGGAATATTACAGCTGATAGGAATTATGCTGTTTGGTATTATATTTGCTGTTTTGTCTAAGTTCAGCTTTGGAAGGAATCTCCTTATCAAGGTAGGGATTTGAAATAACTAAAACTAACTTGACCATATAATTTCTGTGAGATAACAGTAATGATAACACATAGAAAGAAATGATATCTATAGGTTTCATAACGAATGAGAATTGGATATCACTTGATATCAACTCCAGTTATTTAATTTCAATATAATAATTAACTCGCCTAGGCTCGTTTATTATTATATTGATATAATAACTACTATTTAAATTAAATAACAAGAGTTTATATATAGTGATATCCAATTCTCAAGAGTTGTTAAACCTATTTCTCTTATGGTCAACACTCTCATTGTGTTAAATTAAAAATTCCCTGAATCGTTGGTCTAGTCTTTTGCATTTACCTGTATGACGTCATATGTCCTGTTCCGGAGTTAAACTTTATCATCAGACATTTTAAAACTTTTTGTATGCTTCAGAATTTAATGAAATTTGACAATGAGAAGATTTTCAGGTGGAAAGTGTGAGTGTTTTGTATATTATTGAAGAAATCACATATGCCTGTTGCCATGGACGAAATGTACATCGTCTTAATCTTTGAAAGTTGTCAATGACCTAACGAATAGCCAATGGAAATGTCTTAAATTTGTCTCATGATGCTGGATAAGCCAATCAAATTAACACAGTTCTCGTATCACTATTCTCTTCATGCAAGAAATAGATAACAGGTCACAACCATAAGAGAATATTTATCTATACTGAATGGAATAGCATTAATGGTGTGACAGTAAAAAGTTAGATTAGTTGCTGCCAGAATTATATGTATTTCACTTACATAGATTAGCTTCAAATATGTGACATTTTAAAGTACGTGTAAGTTGCATAAATGATTGAATATTATCTATATTAAATAGCTTCAGTGATTTAACTTATAAATTACTCACATATACTGAATTTCTTGTATGGAGTGACATTGAAAAACCTAGGGACTCCATATTATTTACAGGATTTTGATGATAAGGCAAAACTATGAATTTAAGTAAGTAGAAGCTGACTGCGTTTATCTGGTACCAAGAGTTAATTGCCTTGTTATTATATGGTCAATACCATAGAAAACTCTTTTCATACTACCCTGGAAATGTCCAAGTATTAAAAAAAAGTTCAATTTTAAGCAAAAACTTTTTGTGATAATTGTAATGAATGGCTGATCAAATCAGAACAAAGATATTAAAAGAGGCCAGTTCATTAAGGGAACTTCCTTCATATATTTGGTACTTATTGGTCAAAGATTTTTGTTGGTTTTTTTAAAGATTCAACCAAAAAGAAGCAGAAGTTTTGTGTTTGTCCTCATTATTGATACATTAAGAACATCTACTACAAGGATTATATACATGTATATGTTCAAACCTGTCTGGCATAAGACAGTAGTTAAACAATAGTTTCTGTAGAATCAACAATAAGGCAAGGAAATTCAAATAAAAATAATTTTAATAATAATATAAAGAGCTCATATTATTAACATTCTCCCATTATGATAATTACAGGATTCTATTTTTTTCAGTATCCTGAAATTTTTACATTTGGTGCCTTCAAGAAATCTGGACCAACCAAAAAACAGGTAGGTTTGCCAATAATATTTGATGAATATCCTTTTCTGCATTTAATTCTCTTGATAAAAAATTCATCAGGACTCTCATTAGCCCCTAAAAAGCAGAAATTAGGAAAATTTTATTACTGGTTGTTTCACCAAGTAAATACTATAAATAGTTCTGATTGACCTGCATTTGGTTTCAATACTTATATCATTTCACATATACATGTATGCATTAAACATTTCCTATAAGTTATTAATAAAAAAAAAAAAAATTATATTATTTATATTATATTTATGATCACATGTTTATTACAGAGAATACCAAATGTTTATTTGTGAATGCTGAAAGCAGTTTAAAGAAAGGTTTCGTTTGTCAAACTGTTTTAGATACTGAAATTTTTATGGTTCTACCTTTCACCAGAATGTCAAATTTTGTTGGTGTCTAACTAACATTGAATTAAAAAAAAAACACAAACCCCGATTATCCTGTCTCTATTGTTTCCAAAGTTATCATCCCCATTTCCAATATTGTTTGTTCCTATGTTAGCATGCATGTTTGAGTGTTAATTATTGATTTGCTGTTTTTATTATACGCCCGTCTAAGAAGGGACCTATTATGGTATACCATTGTCCATCTGTCTGTCCATCAAGCCGTCCGTCAATCGTCAACACTTCAGACAATAACTCAAAAACACTTTCACCAATTTTCATGAAACATTGGTGAATTATTTATATCTATTGATGTAAGCTCCCTTTCGATTTTTATAAATTTGAGTTTTTACGTTTCTGAGTTATGAGATTGTATTCATAAAAAATGGGTGATTTTCTAGTTTTCTAACTATAACTCAAAAATGCTTTGAGCAATTTTTATGAAACTTTGGTGAATTGTTAATATATATTGACATAACTTCCCTTTCGATTAAAAAAAATTCTGATTTTACGTTTTGGAATATTGGGACTTTATTCATAAAAAGGGGGGGATTTTCCAGTTTTTCGGATAATAACCCCAAAAAACGCTTTGAGAAATTTTCATGAAGCTTTAGTGACTTGTTTATATCTGTTGAGATAAGCTCCCTTTTCTTTTTTATAAATTTTTGATATGACATTGCAGAGTTATGGAACTTTATTTTTTGAAAAATCGTAATAAATCACAGTATTTCTAGTAGATCATATAAATTCTTTTAAAGCAGAAAGACATACTGAAAAGGGGATGGGTGTATCATGCGCTCATAGCGCAGCTCTTTATTTCCACTTTTTAAGTTTTATATTTCAGAAGGTAGAAGACCTATATGTTTAATTCATACCTTGTTTACGATTATAAGTATAAGGATAGCCTTGCAAGGTCTACAGGATGGTCTGGCAGGTCTCAATTGATCTTGTGGTTTATTGGTCAATGTTAAGTTTTCTTGGTTAAATTCATTTCTAAGATAAAAGAAGATTTTATTTTTAGTGGTCAGGTCTGTTTCTCAATTTCTATAAGCAATACATAGGTTAACTATATTTGATGTATTGAATGAAAGTATGGTGTACATATTTATTTGGCAAGGTTCACATGACCTTGACCTTATTCTACGATTCATTAGTAAACGTTAATTTTCAGTGGTTGGGTCTGTTTCTAAAATATTATAAGCAATACATAGGTTAAATGTATTTGATGTATGGAATGAAAGTATAATGTACATGTCTGTCTGGCAAGGTTCACATGACCTCCATCTTATATTCATTTTCATTGGTCAACATTAAGATTTCGTTGTTCGGTTTGTTTCTCAGATACTTTAAGCAATAGGTTACATTTATTTAGTGTATGCAATGATTTTAAAGTTTACATGTGGTTCTGGAAGGGATCACTTGACCTTGAACTCATTTACATGGATCATTGATGATGATAAGTTTATGTTGTACTTAATGTACTTTCAGCATTAGCTCTTTTTTTTTTTTTTTTTTTTTTTTAGAAAGTAAATAAATGTTATTGCATATTTGCTGTTTTAACAATTTACTTGAATAACAGCTTTAGTCTGAGTAATCCCTGTTATTAGTTACTGAATTTCCAGGGGGAAAAGCTCAGTAAAAAGTAATCAAATATTATAAGTACAAAAAAAATGTAATAACATATACATTCTTTTTAAATACAGTGTATATATAAAGTATAGAACCCCATGGTATAAATCATGTGTTAACTCAATAATGATCAGTAAAGCCTTACAGTGTGTGTACTCTTGTTTTTTTGCTGTTTGTAGTGAATGAGACAGTAATCTTCATAGAATTAGGTATTTCTTATGAATTACTTTTACTATCCTATGAAATATTCATAACTGATGAATACCAAAAAATAAAAGTAAAATTATTATCATTAATTTCTTTCATTTAATTAAATATTTGGTCACTATTTTAATCTTTTAATCGGTACATATAGTTACAAGAAATCTAATAAAGAATATGCCAGTTTTTATTTTGGACTTTATATTAAGTAGTGGAATCCTAGATGAAAGTGACATGATGACTCCATACCAATAACACAGACAATGTAATGGGATTACCTTGATATATGAATATATTTTAAGTGTTTTAGATTAAATACAAATCATACCTGTATAAGTTATATTTTTGTTAAACAGATTGAGAATACTTCATTTTCCATGACACTTGTAAGTAAAGGATGGAGTACCAAGTTGGAGGACCCAGCAGAACAACATACAGACGAACCTGAAGTGGTCTCTATAACCAAAGTCTTTGGACCAGGTAAATTATCTCTCTATAATATACTATCCAAGTAAAAAGCATCACTTCATGAAAATTCATTATACAGTCATTGTGATAGAATCACAAAATAGTTATGTACAACCTTACATGCCCACCATTCATTAGATGAATCTTCAAGTCTTTAAAATCCAATATTGTTTGGAAAACATCATTCATTACAGTGATTTTTTCTTCTTTTCTTTTTTTCTATTCTTTATTCCCAAAAAATGTGAAATTAAAAAAAAGTTTTTCTAACAGTTGTCTCTGAAAATTTTACTTGATACATGCATACATACATAGCAATTCAAGTCTTCTAGAAGGAATGCACATATTCTTTTGTCTGCTATTTTCTGTCTTTTGTGTAATTCCTTATTCATAATATTATTATCTCCTTCTGTCCAATGATGGAGCATTTTACAAAAGTTTGTATAATAGAACACTCCTATAACTATTTTTTTAGTTTTATAATTCTTAACTTACTTGGTTAAAAATACTGCAGTATTATGACTGTGTTCATTGTTGAAAATTTATGAAAATTTTGCATTATGACTATATTTTTGTCTCGCCTTGACGGAGTCGAAAAGCGAGACATAGGTATGCTGTTTCCGGTGTCGGCGACGGCGTCAACAATGTTTTAGTTTGCGATTAGGTCTAGTTCATGGTGAACCACTAGTGGTAGGTCAATGATATTTGGTAAGCAGTTGTATTAGCATTGGCACATCTCATTACCTTGGAGATTATTTGGCCCCGCCCCCTCAGTCAAGGTCTATTGACTTTGAAACTTTTCATAGTTTACATGTATTAGTTTGTGATTAGGTCAATTTATGGGGAACCACTAGTGGTAGGTCAATGATATTTGGTATGCAGTTGTATAAGCATTGGCACATCTCATTACCATGGAGATTATTTGGCCCCGCCCCCTCAGTCAAGGTCTATTGACTTTGAAACTTTTCATAGTTTACATGTATTTAGTTTGTGATTAGGTCAATTTATGGGGAACCACTAGTGGTAGGTCAATAATATTTGGTATGCAGTTGTATAAGCATTGGCATATCTCATTTCCATGGAGATTATTTGGCTCCACCCCCTTAGTCATGGTCTATAGACTTTGAAAATTTTGCTAAGTTAACATGTATTAGTTTGTGATTAGGTCAGTTCAAGGGGAACCATTAGTGGTAGGCCAATGTTAATTGGTGTTCAGTTGTATAAGCATTAGCACATCTCATTTCCACGGAGAATATTTGGCCCCGCCCCCTCAGTCATGGTCTATTTACTTTGAAACTTTTGCTTAGTTTACATGTATTAGTTTGTGATTAGATCAGTTTAAGATGAACTGCTAATGTTAAGTCAATGATATTTGGTATGCAAATTTATTGGCATTTGCAAGTATCGTTTCCATGGAGATTATATAGCCCCACCCCTGATCATGGTTCATTGACTTTTAAACTTTTACATAGTTTACAAGTTAATGTTTGTGTTTAGGTTTGTTTAAAGGGAACGACTTAAAATAAGTCAATGGTATTTGGTATGCAGTTGAATTAGGATTGGCACATCTCATTCTATGGAGATTGTTTAGCCATGTACCTTCAGTCATGGTTCATCGACTTTGAATATTTGCATTACTTACATGTTAAAGTATTGCTATTTTAATTTCAACATTTGCATTATCAAAATTAAAAAAAGGCGAGACATATCTCTGTGATAACAGTTTATTAAAATAAAGACATTTTTTTTCACTTTCTGATATTCATGATGTTAGATAAAGAGGGAAGGGTTGAGATCTAAAAAAAAATAATTTAACCCAACCACGTAGTCATGTACATGTCCCAAGTCAAGAACTCTTCATTGGTTGCAAAGGTCATATTCAAATGTTGTTTTAAAGTTTATGGCAGATTTAATTGTTTCTGTTTAATTTGATCACACCTTTTATAGACTTTATAGCTTACTGTTCGGTGTGAGCCAAGGCTCCGTGTTGAAGACCGTACTGTGACCTATAATGGTTTACTTTTATAAATTTTGACTTGGATGGAGAGTTGTGTCATTGACACTCATACCACATCTTCTTATATCTATTTAGATGGTTTAGAGCTTGATATATTGTTTATACATCTGTCGCAAGACTTGTTATTTGCCCAACAATTCTTTTGGTTATTTTTGTTGTAAGGTTGCTGTCTCATTGACATTTACCCTCATCTACTTTTATTCAAATCTATATCCAGATATTTGCTGTCATAAAATAAAGAACTGTGGCTATGTGAATGTAATGTGTTGACATAGAAATATTAGTGTGTAAAGATGAGAGTGTTACACTGTGATTTTGTGGGTATAGATTAACCACAAATTTAAATGATCAACAATGTATAGCTTTATCATAGGCTTGAATGTAAATTATTTGCAAAACCACAAAATCAAGTATCAACGAAAATATAATTTTTCTTCAATCCACGAAAATTGGTACCCATGAACATAAGTGAATTCACAGTATATAAGGATATCAAGATTCTACATTTATGCTACAATGAGTTGTACAAGAATACATGTATGTTTTACAGAACCAGGATATGTAACAACACCTATTTGTATGGTTCAGTGTGGACTGGTTGTCTTGAAAGAGAAGAGTAAGATGCCCAAAGAGTAAGTTCTTTTACATAATTCAGCTGGAACAGCATAGGGTATATTTAAGATTAGAGAAACCATTGTTAGCCTAAAGAAAATCTGAGTTGATGTTTACTGTTTTTTGCAATTATCGCTATTATCTCAAAAACTATTGGAGCTAGGTCAAACATGTTAATTGCAAAAGTGAATATTAAACTAGTATGTAGAGTGGGTGGCGCATATTCGCCTTGGACACATTTTCGCCGTTTTGCTATTTTTTCTGTAAAATTTGTGTGCCTTTACCCAATACTTGCCTAAATAAATGGTAAAGGCTGTTTGTAATATTACAACTGTTGATATTCCTCTTTATCCCATTTCCAAGGTTATTCGCACATATTGAGAAATACGCAGGTGTTTTTAAATGCTTTTGGCAATTATGTAAGATTTATATGGCAATCATGCGCAGTCTTAAAGTAAATATTTGTGAGATAAATCGTATAGGAATGATCTCTCAAGCTAATTCATGTAATTGCAAACATTCGTTTTTATAATATACCAGGATAATGAGGATGGTCATATCATACATTGCGGTGAAAATGTGTCCCCCATGGTACACGAACAACTTGATTTCCTCTTGAGTTTGCGTTCGTTCTTAGAACAATTAACCAATGTTTTGAAGATAATTTCTTTATCAAACATTTTTTTCATATAGTTAAATTTCTGAAACCTACATAAAAAGTTACAAATATTCGAATGTAGGTCGGGTGTAAGTTGAAATGAACAAATTATGCGGCGAATATGGGTCTCTCACTCTATATATATTGGTCCTTATAAGCAGACTTTCTTTTTTCACCAGTTGAGTGATATAAGCACAGGTGTACCTCTAATTGACTTTATTATCTTTGTATTTCATGGTACAAGTTGAAAAGGTCAATTTTTTAAAACTCTAAAATAATAGATTTTTTTTGTCATTCTGAATGTATGAAATATTAGCCACTTGACACTTGGCAAACAGCCGTTACAAAAAGTTATATCTTAGTCTGAAGTACTTTAAGGTGTGCAGGACTTACATTACATGGTAAATTTAATAGACGTCACAGATTTATGCTTTTTATGTCCCAGCCGTAGTGGAGGGGGCATTAATTTTTAACCTTGTCCGTCTGTACTTTTGAAGATAATTTCTTTATCAAACATTTTTTTCATATAGTTAAATTTCTGAAACCTACATAAAAAGTTACAAATATTCGAATGTAGGTCGGGTGTAAGTTGAAATGAACGAATTATGCGGCGAATATGGGTCTCTCGCTCTATATATATTGGTCCTTATAAGCAGACTTTCTTTTTTCACCAGTTGAGTGATATAAGCACAGGTGTACCTCTAATTGACTTTATTATCTTTGTATTTCATGGTACAAGTTGAAAAGGTCAATTTTTTAAAACTCTAAAATAATAGATTTTTTTTGTCATTCTGAATGTATGAAATATTAGCCACTTGACACTTGGCAAACAGCCGTTACAAAAAGTTATATCTTAGTCTGAAGTACTTTAAGGTGTGCAGGACTTACATTACATGGTAAATTTAATAGACGTCACAGATTTATGCTTTTTATGTCCCAGCCGTAGCGGAGGGGGCATTAATTTTTAACCTTGTCCGTCTGTACTTCCGTATGTACGTCCCAAAATTGATTTCCTTTCTCTAACTTTAGTTTGCCTCAACCAAATGTTATGAAATTTGTACACAATGCTTATTGCCACAAAACACAGATTAAGTTTGAATTTTGGTGGTGTCAATTTTACCGTTCTTGATTTATGCCCCTTTACAAATGTAAAAATTGCTGAATTTTCCGTTTCCATTCTCTAACTTTAGTTTACCTCAACCAAATGTTATGAAATTTATTCACAATGCTCATTACCACAAAACACAGATCAAGTTTGAAGTTTGGTGACGTCACTTTTACTGTTCTAGAGTTATGCCCCTTTACAAATGGAAAAATTGCTGAATTTTTCGTTTCCGTTCTCTAACTTAAGTTTGCCTCAACTAAATGTTATGAAATGTATACACAATGCTTATTATCACAAAACTCAGATCAAGTACAGATTTGGGTAGCGTCACTTAAAAAGACTCACTTTTACAGTTCTTTAGTTATGTCCCTTTTTAACGTTATATGCAAGCAGGGGCATAATCTGTGTCCCATGGACACATTCCCCATTTATTTGGTATTTAGTTGAACTGTCTCAGAATAACCTTTTGACATCATGCAACAATCACTTTTTAATTGTCAATTTTTTTTATTTGTGATGCAATATTTTGCTGGAACTTGTGTGACTTCAAGTTATGGCAGACATATGTGCACACAAGTGTAAATACATCCATATACCTGTGATCTCACGTGGTAAGAACATTGTATAATGAAGTGTAATTTCAGAAATTATTGTGAGGTTTTGATTAATATGAATAATTCAATTGTGTGTGATTCGCAATAATAAGAACTAGCCTTCTAATATCAGAGACATATATCTGTATGCATATTTTCCTGAAATTGCAATAATTTATCTCGCATCTTTTTCCTTTTTTTCAAAGATTGCAATAATAAATGAATGCATTAACTTCTGAATTTTTAGTAAGTGACTTATTTAATGAGTTTCCATTTGTTGTCCGTTTTACAGTGGTGGAGTACTGACACCAGGTTCTGCCTTTGCTGACACTAGTTTGATAGACAGACTTCAGAACCACAACATCAAATTCCAAGAGGTTAAGGAGTAAATAAATGGTGCTGTAAAGACAGTAGAGTTAATTGGTTCAATTGTAGAAAGACTTTTATTATCTGTTATTGTAAGATTAGAACATATACTTTTTATTCATTCTTTAATTCACTGCTGCAAAAACTGAAGATCATGGAATTCATTGTTATAATTTGAAACACAACTAGAATAAATTCATAAACTGAATTAGTGTTTAATGCAATTTCTATAGCTTCGAAAATATTGTGCTGTGTGCCTTTGGAAAATATTGCATGTCAGTCAGTCTCTCAAACTGAGAAATTGCTATTACTTTATTTTTTATATAAAGAATGATTGGTTTTTTTAATAGGAAATTTCTTTTTTTCCAAAGTATTTCACAAGGAATATTAACATTTCTGTCCAGTAATACTTTTTTTTCAAGATAGAACTGAAAAATTGTATATGACCATTGAAGAATGCAATACTTAACATTGTTTTCTTAAGCTCAGTCAACAAGGTTTGTTGGATACAAAAAAATCAAACAAAGCCATGTTAGAAAATTAATCAGTGTGCATCAGGAAAAATCAGAAGATGGCCTGTTCTAAAGGACAAGGGAAGATAACTCAAATTCACTTTTTCTAGAGCATTGGATTTTAATGTAAAGGTGGCTTCATTCTTAAGTGTTGTTTTTGAGTGGAAACTTGTGGAAAAGGTTATATTTTCAAAAAATCTTATTTTAGAAAAAATAAATCTCAATGCAAAAAAGGTTTTCAAATAAAACATTAATCAAAAACCAATCGCCTGCACTCTTTAAAAATAAAAATTTCTGACTATATGAGCCTAAAATCTGAAGTTAGCAACTTCAAAGATGATTTTTTTTATTTATTTACCTAGTTTTTACAAATTCATAGCATATGTATAATTTTGTGGCTTAATGGTGCATATATTGCTTTGTCAGCACTAAAGCTGTGTTATGTTGTGTTGTTTATTGTTGAACAAAACAGAGGAACAATTTTAATGTGGCAACCAATAAATATTTTTTCGAAAGGTTGCAAATGTGAGATTGTGTGGGAAGTTTTTATACCAATTAAAAGGTGTTTGATAGTGCTGCTTTTTTGTAATACATGTATGTATTCTATTTATTTATGTGATCAGATTTATATAATATGATAGCTGTATATCACAAGATAATTTTGTGATCATTAAAAGGCATTTGATTGACTATTGAAAGATGATAGTTTATATAGAAACTAACAAAAAAAAGTATTATGTAAGCATTATTTGTATGTGAAGAGTTGAAGAAAAAATTGGCAGATGATTTTGATTCCCCAAAAAGGAGAATATAAAATGATAAATTCAAAGAAAATTAAAATAGACGATGAGCTTAGCTACAATCAATGAAATGTGCAGCTTCTCTGGCCTCTATCATCTTCTCTAAACATGCCTGATGCCAAAGTAATCTGTGTCCCTGTTATGATTTCTGTAAACAACGTAACATCTTGTCAAAGACTCATGTGAAATTGCTTAGAAGTTATGAGTTATTGTGTAAGGATTACAAGTTATTAGTTATTGTGTAAGGATTAGAAGTTATGAGTTATTGTGTAAGGATTAGAAGTTATGAGTTATTGTGTAAGGATTACAAGTTGTGAGTTATTGTGTAAGGATTACAAGTTATTAGTTATTGTGTAAGGATTACAAGTTATTAGTTATTGTGTAAGGATTAGAAGTAAGACTCAATGACCTAAGCAGTTTTTAGATTAATATATGAATTAAAGTTAAACTCAAAAATGACTTATGCAAGATTTGTGAATCATTCAAGTCACTTGCCATCCAAAGAGTATATGTGGTGACATATATACTATTAAGAAAACTGGGATAATTTTGTACTTTAAACTACCGAATTTTAAAAAATTTATTGTATTGTATAATTCTATTTAAAATAATCATATATATAGGAGGGAACTGGTAATTGGTTTATTTTAAGTTGGTTGTTAAAATTTGAGACATATATATACTTATGATTAGAGGGTTTAAACATGTATATTTTGAATTATTATGAACCAAAAAAATCTTTTTAAAACAATATTAGTCTTTCCACAGTGAAATTAAAGAATAATACTGAAAATAAGGTTTTTGAAAAAGATTTTTTTTTGTTAAATAAAAAAAAATTGTATTTGATGACTTCAAATTCCTAATTTATGATTCAGTTGTGAATTAAATAATTGTTAAATTGGCTTAGTTATATATTTTTCTACTTTTATATTGACATTGCCAAATCTTTTTGTTTTTTTGTCGTTGCTGTTATTACTAGTGTCTGTTGATGTTTCCAGACTAAGTTGAAAGATGGTTTATATATCATATTGATACACTGTATTTCACAGCTCTATTTCTATTGGTTCATCATTAAAGGTGTAGACAAACTTAATTCTTTTTCTGTTCTTTCAATGGGACTTGGTCACCTTTTTGTAACATTACAATAGGCAATTCAGAGTAAGCACAGAACTGAAAAAAATAATCAACTGGTCGCGCAGAGATTAATTTGGTTAAGAATAAGAGAAATTAAGATATCAGTGATGGTGAAAATTACGATTGCATTACAAAACAGGTGGTCATAAAACATGTTAAACATTTAGGGGAAAGTAAAACTAGCTTAACACACATCTATGACTTTTATATAAATAATTGGGATAAACTATTTTATTGTCATACCGTGGGACTAAAATCCCTTAGATTAGATACCAGTCATCCTAAAGTCAGAGTTTAATATCTTAAGACAGGTCTGGTATCAACTTCTGAATGTACATAGTAAAAGAATATGCAGTAATTAATGGCATTTTTCCAGAATATGGTGTTTTATGCTGTGATATAATTATGTCTATGTACTTATTGATTATGTAGACTTTAATGAGAAACTGATTTGAATACTTCATTAATTTTGCTATTAACTAATTATGGTCAGACAAAATTGTTAATGAAGCAAGAAAAACATTTAGGAAGAGGTAATTTTACCTATAATCTGCAATCAAATAATACATATTTACCAAGTCAGTTTAAATTCAATTGTGATATGCATTTGAGGTTGTTCTTACACTTTGAGATCAATAACTGTGATTGAATCAAAATGTCAATTTCTAAGGAAATGGACATTGTAGTTACTATATGATGAACCCTAGTTCTTTGAAAATTAAATTTACAAATGAAAGAATGATTCATCAGATTTAAAATAAACAAACAATAAACATCTTCATAGAATTTTTTTGTTTTTTTAACTCTATTTAGGAAATAAATCTTTTTTGTTATTATTCTTGGCTAAAATACACCATTCTAAGTATTTTGTTTTATTATATATAATTATATATACTGTCTTCATAAATTATCAACTGTGGTAAAATTGAATGTCCTGCAACTCTATGTGTTTTACCTAAACATCTACATAAATGCCAGAACTTGTAGCTTTTCTAGCAAGTAGTTCAGACTTGTTATGATGTAATTAATATGTGCAATAATCATGAAGAATAAGTTACTATTCAAATTGTGTAAGAGTTAAATATTCTGAAAATCATGGGAAAGTCTGGCGAGTCATGGACATTAGTAATGTACTCCAACTATACAAATATGAATTTACCTGTAAATGTCTTTGGTTTAATTCTTTTTGTGATGGTTTGCTGTCTAAATGTAAACCCACCATCCTCTGTTAATCATAATTTAAAAAAAAAAACTTGACAGATTTTAAAAGTGTATTTTTGACTGCTTTTTGTGCCTTTTCTCATGTTATGCAATATTGTTGAAATTTGGAATAAATATTCAAAGCTTAGTTATAGTTTGTTATGATATAGGAAGTCCATAATGGTATGCAGTTCAGATATGACATTAGTTCTTCAACATTGCCTTAACCAAACAAAAGAATCAGTTACTTTTTCAGAGGTTATTCAGTCGTTAGTAGCATTGTACACTTCCTATTTTATCCTATTTATAAGTTTACCTGTCCCATCACTTTGCTGTCAGCGGTCCATCAATCCATCTAATCAGTCTGTCTGTCTGTTTCTTGACAAATTTACATTTTCATTATTTTTTTTTAAAAACCACCAGACCAATTTGAACCAAAGTTTGTGGATATAATTTATGGGCTGTTCTAAATGAAAATTCTTCACTCCCTTCAGATCCGATGAAATAACATGGCAAATCTTCTCAGAAAGTACTATGTGAAATGTTTTGAAACATAAGGGAATTAGTGGGAATTTGCCTAATATCTTAAAGACTACAATAGACAGATTTAAACTTTAAATAGAAAAAATGATCAGCAAGACAGGGTCTACAAATAAATCTAATGGCCAAAACTGTCAGTCAAATCCTTATTGGAGTTATTGCTCTTTAATGACCAACTTTTTGTGTTTTTCACATAGAGCTAGGTGAACAACACAGGCTCTTTAGAGCCTTTAGTTTATAATTTTGCCAATTATCTCAAAAGCTTAAATCGTTGGAAACTGTAAACGGTAAAATGATTATCAATACAAGATCTACACAAATGCTATTAAATAAGATTTACAAATAAGCAAACATATCTGAGTGCAATAAAGGTAAAAATAAATATAATGGTTTAATTTTTCCAAGTGAGCCATTTAATTAACCAGCTTAAAGAATTTGATGAAACTTTCCTGGATATTGTGCACTTCCTTTATCGTTTTTGAATCAAAAAAAGATTATTTAAAATTCCAATAGCAACACAAAGTCCTGCAATTCATTGGAATAGGCATAAATTGGCAATAGGTTAAAAAGGAAAATGATTTTTGAGCTCTTCACATTACATATTGTTGAACTTGCAACATTGGGAATAATATTGTTACACATGCTTTAATTGATCATAAACATTTGAATTGTGAAAACAAAACATATATATTCTTATTAGCATTTTTGTATTAGATCCAATTAAATGAAAAAAGATGTTGATAAAATCCAAAGCTATGATAAAATTGCAATTAACCTTTAAATCTTAAATTAAGGAAATGTATATTACTTCTGATAAGACAACTATCTACCAAAAAACAAAGACAAGGATTGATTGATTGTTTGCTTTTTGTCCAGTGGCAAATATTTCATGCATGTTCAGGATGAGACCAAATTAATAATACAATAGGTAGGTGCTGTAAAAAGTGGACGCCAGGGATTATGGGCAGGAAATTGGAATTGCAACTGGAAAATTAGGGTATGTTGGATAGGAACAGAACTTTAGCTTTGAAACGGGCCACCTATGGCCCCTCAAAGAGTTTTTATAACAAAACAACTTACGAAATGAAATAAGATACTGACTAACAACCTCGGATTAGTTGTAGTTCCGAAAATCTATTTTGAAACCCAATTTCAACTATTAGACATACCATGTTTTCCTAATTATGAATGAAATACTTGCCACTTGATTAAGCTGAAAGTACTATTACACGAAATACTAATAGTTGTCCCGGCAATCAGCATTAAGCAAACCTTTAACCAATCTTTTGCACTTGCAACTTCAAAAAAATTCCAAAATAATGTCTCACAAATTTTTAACTTATATAACTAATTAAATAAAAGGGCGGGTTTTTTTTAAGGGGAAGGTACGTTGTGATGATACTGTGACCTGAATTTTATGCTTAAATGACCAGTTAATAGAAGCAGTATTTGGTCTGTTTCAAAGACATGAAGCATAGACAATTCCTAAAGCCTTTTAAACATTTGTTAAATTTAAGAGAGAATTAAAGATACAGACTTACATATTCAAGCAAGTGAAATTACTAAATATATGTAAACTATACTTTTTCAATAGATATTTATACAATTTTATGAAATATGTTGATTATTGCAGATCAAAATGTAACAAATCAATCATATGTAAACTAAAAATCAGTGTCATTTTTTGCCAATAGAGTGTGATATATTAAAAATTTGTAAGGGTTCCCCGGAACCCAGTGTCTCGCCTACTTTTGCTGTTAATCGCAGGCTCAACAAAAATGAGGAAAACCATCAATAAAAATATTCCTTTAGATACTATCTTTTGATTGTAAGAAGCTTCTGTCAAAGTTTGGTATAAATCCAGGATAGTTTATGAATCTAATAAATGTTTTAACAACTTTAATGGAGACTGTATTTAATGTTAACTGGAAGAAAAACTAAGTCCATTTATAAGTAAAATACGGATAAACAGGTACAAAATTTTAACAAAATTTCCTTCTAGATACTAGCTTTTGATCATAAACAAGCTTCTGTCCAAGTTTGGTACAAATCCAGGATAGTTTAAGAAAGATATTAAAATTTTAAAAACTTTAACCACAGAGTGAATGTAATGTTTCCCGGCAGAAAAACTAAGTCCATTTACAAGTAAAATACGGAAAAACAGGAATTTTGTTTTTACAAAATTTACTTCTGGATACTATCTTATGATCATAAACAAGCTTCTGTCCAAGTTTGGTAGAAATCCAGGATAGTTTAAGAAAGTTATTAAAATTTCTAAAACTTTAACCACAGAGTGAATATTTGTGTAATCCGACGACGACGGAATGTAGGATTGCTATGTCTCGTTTTTTCGACTAAAGTCGCAGGCTCGACAACAACCCTAAGCAAAGGTGAATTTTTGTTTCCGTCAAAAAGGAGACTTTTCAGACGAAAACCATTTTTTTTATACGACCGCAAAAAATTTTGCTGTCATTTATTGGTATCACGTCGTCGTCAGCGTCGTCCGAAGACAGTTGGTTTCCGGACAATATCTTTAGTATAATTAAATAGAAATCTATGAAATTTCAACACAAGGTTTATAACCGCAAAAGGAAGGTTGGGATTGATTTTGGGAGTTATGGTCCTAACAGTTTAGGAATTAGGGGCCAAAAAGGGGCCCAAATAAGCATTTTTCTAGTTTCCACAATAACTTGTGGAACGGTATATGGATCTCTCTGAAATTATACCACTTTCCATACCACAAAGGGATGGTTAGGATTTGCTTTGGGGGGTTATGGCTCAAACAGTTTAGGAAATAGGGGCAAAAAACGTTTTGATTACCTTCCTTACACTGCTTTTAAATTATGTATAAAGAAATGTTGTATTGTCTTGAGATGATTAGCTGTCAATTTATTTTTAGAAGTTACTATTAAGGTATATTAATTTTAGCCATGATAATGTATGTCATTTTCTATTTTAAGACTTTAATGATGTATTTAAATGGGTATTTATGGTTGCAAACTACATTGGAAATTTGAATTGAGATTATGACCATATCTTGAGGGAAAGAATTTTTTTATTGGGAAAAGGGGGGGGGGGGGGGGGGGGAGGTGAAAAAAAATTTGGGGAGGGGGGGGGGGGGGGTAAAAAGAAATTGTGGGGGATCAATTTTTTCTCATTTCAGATTTCAGAAATTCTTCAAATATTATTTTTTTGGCCAAAAAAAAGTGGGGGTGGGGTTCAATACGCAACAGCATAGTGTATTGCACAAAAGCAAAAAAAAAAGGGTGGGGGGGATTTTTTTATTTTTTTGTGGGGGGAGGGGGGTCAATTCGCAACAGCAAAGTGTATTGCACAAAACTAAAAAACTGAATATAAATTCAAAGCATATAACCATTTCTAAAGTTTTTTGACTACAGTTATTCTGTGTCAGAAACCTATTATGTGTCAAATATTTAATTACAATCCAAATTCAGACCTGTATCAAGTGCGAATATTGACTATTGTGTCCATTTTTGCCCCAACTGTTCAGGGTTGGACCTCTGCGGTCGTATCCAGCTGCGCTCGGCGAAGCAATTTATTTTAAATGCTTTACTAAATTATAAACATTGGGGAGAATATCTCATTTTTACAGAAATTAAAATTTGTTTTATTAAACAGTCAAATATCTTTCTTATCATGCAGCTTGTTATCCTCAGTTCATCTTCTGTACAGGTCAATTAATTGCAGCTTGCTTAACGTCCAGTGGCAAATATTTAATGCAAATTCAGGAAGGGAGCAAATCAACAATTCAATACAAAGGTTCTGGTAGGAAAGTCGACAAGGATAAGACGAGAAATTTGGGCCTATCTCCAATGTAGACACACATATAAATCTAACAGACTGGGGTCAAGGTAAATCAAATGAAGGGGTAATTGAAAACATAAGTAAAATGATATATCAAGGGGCATGTACTCCTCATAACTTATCCACTGTACCGGTATATACCAAGTATTGTTGACCACAGATACTTTGTCTCTGAAATTTTGTTTACCTATATCCATTATGTAATAACTGAAGAGCTGACATTCTGAAAAATTATCACTCATGTGTGAAAGTAGGGTGAAGGCCACATGACATGTCTGATATCCATATACTCCTGATCTAACCTTACCTAGAATGCATATTAGCTGAATTCTTCAATCTTCTGATCTCAAGGTTATTTATTGACTGTTGTTTGCTAATTGCCCAGTGGCAAATATTTCATGTATATTCAGGAGACAATTTAAACAAAAGTGCAATGAATTGACAGTCTTTAATATGAAGGTATTAATACAAGTATCACACAAACTTAACATTATCAATGTTCTATGAAAATGAGGTGAAGGTCTAATGAACCATGCCAGACAGACATGTACATCTTGCAATCATTCCATACACCAAATATTTTGGTCCTATGGATAATAGTACCCGAGAAACTGATCAAACCACAAAATATTAACATTGAACAATGAACCATAAAAATGAGGTCAAGATCATATGAACCCTGCCAAATAGACATGTCCTTTATTCAAAATTTGCTATTTCTTAATTTTCACGCGTATTTTGGCATTTAGGTCCTCCGTAACCCCTCTAATGCGCATTCGGCAC